CGCTCCGTTGTCTTTTTACGCTTGGTGCCAGGGTTGGTCGTTTGCTCGAGCGACGTCGGCACCATACTTCGCCGGGCGTAGACAGCCAAGCAGAAAGCAAGCCCGTGATTGAGTCACCCAAGCTAAAGGACAACTTTCCCACCCTCTAGTTTGACGGACACTGATTTTCGTGACGCGAAGTATTCAGGTCGCCGAAATACGCTGTCGGGGAGTTTTCCATTCCTCACTGCGTCTCACGACTGCGGCTGACATTTGTACAGTTACTGTTGAGGGATGCGATAGCACATATCAGCGTGCCTTGCGCTCCACATTTGTCCGCCGTGCCATCTGACGGCGCCTGGGCTACATCAACTGACATTTGCCGTAACGGCCCATGCCAGCCTAATCACAGACCGTCGCCAGCTTCTCGGCCACTGCTGCCACAGAGCGCAGACGCGCGCCGAGCAGAGGTGGGGGTGGGGGATGTGGGCAAGGCCCAAAAGACAAGAAAAGTAACAGAGTTTTGACGAATTTCACACTCTTCGAGTGTTCGAGAAACGTCACGCCAGTCAGCATCTTTTCCAGCATAGCCACTCACGAAGAAGCAATCTCTGAACATTCAAAAGTGCTGGGTGTCCCAAAATTGATGACCGTCTTTCCCAGATGGCGACAGGAAGACAAACCAGGCGCGGCGCACGGCTCAGTCGTCGATGCCTCCTCGGCGACGTGCGCCCTCACACGCTCCGGCACGGGCCTCTTCAGCGGGCCGGAGGTGACAGCGCGCCCCGCTGGCCGGACGTCTCTGATGAGGGTCCGCTCAGACGTGGCCGGCACCGGTGAACCGATCTCGTCCGGCACGGCTGACCACAAGTTCTCAATTGGTGCGAGGTCGGGGTCGTTACCAGACCCCGCCCTATCGTCCGGAACCGTGCAAGGTCAGTTCGTCGCCATTCCTGCCTACTTGTGTTCGGTGCGCAGGAACGCCATTTTGCTGGAAGACGGCCTGTGACATACCCCACACAGATCAGGGCTTGTACGGCGGGCCTGGTTCCTTCTGCTGGCGCATCGCACGCGCCGCCATCTTCTTCAGCACCTCCTTCACGTCATATTCGCCTGTGATGGCTGCCCTCGGGGACTGCACGCACAAGGCAGACAACCCGCGGAAGCCAATGGTCCCCTGCACCGATATCTTCAGAGGCGTCCGTTTCACCGTCAATCGATTGGAAAATGATCGATGATCACCGATGATCGGGACTTAAAGAGCCAAGGTGCACACAGAGCCGGTTGTTCTAACGACTGCGAGAATAGAGTTCGCAAATATGCCTCCAAATATCTCTGTACCGTCGACTTCAACACCGGGCGATGTTTTGTCCACAACCTTCGACATGATTTTTCTGTAGACTGATCACTCTTCGGGAATGATTTATAATTTTTTCGGGCCTAATTTGGTCGCCAAGGTCACCAAGCTCTCCCCCCCCCCGCGACCGACGCCGTTTTCAGCACTAGCACAGCCCCGCGGCCGGCGTCGTTTTCAGCACCAATACAGCCCCGCGACCGGTGCTGTTTTCAGCACCAGCACAGCCCCGCGGCCGGCGCCGTTTTCAGCCCCAGCACAGCCCCGCAGCCGTTACTGTTCTCCAGGTCTGTCCGCCACGGCCGTGAGGCATCAGCATTTGACGGTGTTTTCCCTGACGACAGGTTCTCGGCGACGGAACCATACGTCATTCCACACATCACCATACCAACCGGACGACAGTGGGTCGATATGACCAGAGTCGATATGACCAGTGGTCGATATGACCTTTGACCAAAGCGAACACCGCATGAGGGAGTTACGCGCTCGCCCGCTGCTATGGTAGTGCTCCCGGCCAACGAGTCTGCACACGCCGGGAGCCTCCTTGAAACTGACCCTCGCTGACCCTCTTCACAGACCATGTCGCGTCACTCAGCGGGGTCACGTGACCGATGGGCCCGTAGAGACGCCCTTGTGCCGGACGCCACTAAAACCTCACTCGCCCTGCCACCTAGCGACGGGAGTGATCTGGACGCACAAGGTGGTCATCGATTTTGTGGCGGCCTGCGGCAGCCGGGCCCGCCCACGCTCGTCAGCTCCAGCAGCAGACGCCGGGCGCTGAGCCGCGTCTGGAGGCTCCCAGCGCTGCACACGGGGCTACTCAGCACGCCTCCGCCAGCTCAGCAGCTCCGCGTGGACCGGCGGGCGCTGCTCCCATGCCGCAGGCGAAGAGCGCGCGGCTGGCTCATGGCCACAGCAGCCGGAGCCGGTGCCTCCTGACCCGCGCGTCGCACGGGCGGCGCGGCAGCATCACTCGAGATACGCAGACGGTCAGGGTGGAGTCGTAAGGGCGTTTATTATGGCCCCCCCCCCCCCCACCCGGTCCACAGACATCGCGTCACCTTTCAGCACGTGCCTGTCTGGTGGCCGTCCATCGGCTGACATCACCACACGGCGCTTGAGTCAACCTGATTCACCGCGTTGAGAGGATCACACCAGGCGTTTGGACATCGAAGCAAAAAAACAACAAAAAACAACAAACAAACAAATAAGACGCCAAAATGCAAAACTGAACAGGTCAAATTTCGTTGCCTAAAAACTTATTTCTGTCACGTGGAGCCTCAGAAGCCAAGCATGCCTGTGTTGCTCCACCTGAAAACCGACCCACTTCAAACACAAGCACGCGAAAAACAAACAAACAAACAAACACACAAACCCGTAATTCCAGCTGAGCAGGCGCGCGAGAAACATCGGCAATTCGAAGCGAGTAGTTCAATTCATGCTCGGGTTTCAGGAGCCACCCATACAGGCAAAACAATTTCAAAACTTTACTGCAAACACGCGTCTCCAGACATCGTTCCTAAAACGTGACCGCCGGTGACATGCTTTTAATTTCACGTCGGACTGCGGCAGCTGTAAACTGGGTCCCCAAACCTAAACACTACCACAAACACTTCTTACTGAACTCGGTCACTTGTGGCAGGCCGTGGAACATCACCGATCATGCTGATACCAGCATTCGCCCCAGAACAACTGCTGGGAGGAGGGAGCGCCCAACCGTACACTCCCGCGGCCTTGAACTGAGCGACGGCGAGTGTTACACGATGTTTACTGCATCATCACTGATAGCGGAGTGATCCGGGTCGAAGACGCGACAGTTACCATGGAAACCCCGAACCGCTAGATCCAGAACCGCAGCACCATGAATTGCAGCAACGTTAAGAGCATGTACAAGGTCATCATATCTCCAGTACGTCCACTTTACAATGATTGCTAGACTGTATGTAGCATACCGACTCTTACACACAATGAACGCAACCCAAAAGAGCACTTCTTTCTGTGCCGTAGCAATAGATCCCAACTTAGTTTGGTAACTCCCCCCCTCCCCCCAGACGCAGCAGTTTACCAGCAATATTTTCTCTCGTTTGAAGAACAATTACGGTCTAGAAGTCCACATTTCGGTAAAACACTGGTTTTCCTCGTCGACCTGTTCGACACAGACACACTCATACCAACTGTCATGAATACCGTCCATCACGGGATACCCACCAAAGGCATTCAGCGTAGCGAGCTGTCACTGGTGGCCGCGCTTGTGCGAAAAGCTGAGAAAGCACGTGACAACTGCAAAACCAGAACTGATTTCCGAAAATTCAAAATAATGTGGAATAGGCTCAGATAACGTGCTTGTATAGCTGACCATGGACTGGCCGGCTCGCCCGTTGGCCGCCAGTCAACCTTCCGGACACACGTACGCGCAAAATTACCCATTCCAGACACAAAAAACACGCGAGTGTCGCCAGAATTTGGATTAGTGATAGATTTCAGCGAATGAAGCGCATACGTCATTTATGTAAAAATGCATTGCGCGCTGAAAGTATGTGCCTTCTCGTGCCATGCATATACCACTGTCAATTACATAAGGTGGGTGTGCACGGTCTGCGTGTGTGAATGTGTGTCGTGTGTAGTTTGAATGTTAACAAACGCTGTCAGCGAGCCCTTAACACTAATAAACAACAATAAGGCCAATAAACGAGAAAAACTACGGACCAGCGCTCCGTTGACCGCCGCCTGGTGGCGAGGCGCCGAAGAACTATCCCGCGCGCACGTTTCGCCACTAATGCAAACGTTGACGTCGTAGACGAAGCTCTTACTGTCATTTGGTGTTGGAACAACGTCAACGGCGATGGGCATTCTACGCTGTTTGCTATGGTTGTACGTGCACGAGTAGTACCATGCCGTTATGTCACTCATCGTTATGTCACCGTCACAGACAAAAGTCACTGATCTCAGTTACGATAAAGGGGCATAAACGAAATTGTGCAGATGGGAAGCGGCAACGGCAAGGCCCACATAGGCTAGATCAGATCCCGCTGACGAAACCATGACGGGACTGAACCACTACGGCCAAATGGTGCACCGCTGCACGGCACGGGTTTACATAACGTCACCTCCCTGAAGCGACGGCGACTACATCATCTGGTGCCCCCGGCGGTAAGTAAGACCTTGAGCACGACCGGTGGAACGCAGAAGGAGAAGACGGCGGGCTCCACCTACGTCGTACCCCGGCAGCACTCCCAGCGCCCCTCGCTCAGGGTCACGCTTCCCCCCCTCCCCACCCCCCTCCTCCGCCCCCGCACGCCTGGCACCGCCCATGCGCCGCCACCTATTAGCTGACTGGTCCCGTTCTCAGCCGCCTTGTTTATTCTCCCGCAATCCATACACACCCACGTCCACACACACACACACACATACAGAGCAGCGGTGCCCGGCCGTCGGTTGCCGGCGGCGCCGCCAGGCGCGCTGCCTGTCGCCACTTTCTCCGGCGGCCGTGCCTCGCTGCACCCCGCCGGCGGCGCGCGCGCCCCCACCCCCGCGCACCCCTGGCCACCTGCCCCCTCCCCGGCGGGACGAGGCGGGGAGGCAGGCCGCCGGCTCCGGGTCAGGTGGCCGGGCGTCAGCCGGCGGCGGCGGCGGGTTCGCATCGATCGCCGCCCGTCGCGTCACATACCTGCAGAGGGCTGACTGGCGGTCGCGCGGGAGACTCTCAAGCTGCGGGCGCGACCAGCCCGCCGCCGGCCCATCCAACGCTGGGCGCGCGCCGGCGCACGGGGCGTGCTCCGCGGTCCCCACCGGCCTGCAACGGTCCACACGGGGCGCGCGTCAGACGGAGCGACCGTGCGCACGTCCACACCCCACCGTCCGCTGGCTCAACTGGCGCGGCGAAAAACTCTGGGAGATTCCTGTCCGATTTCCTGGGCTGAGCTCGCCGTATGCGGCCGCGCGTTGGCGGGAAGTAAGATTGGCGCCGGCGCCGTGGCGCGCATCGCAGGCGACGGGGCAAAAAACGGCGACCGGCCGAGGCGTGAGCGGACCATCGTCCAAATTCCTGCGGCGTGGCTGCGCCCGTGGCTTCGTCAGCTCGCCGCAGCCGGTCCCGAAGCCGCGGCCGCCGGCCGATTCATTCGCCGCCGCGGCCCGTCGTACAATACAGTACGGCCACGCGTGCGGCGACCCGCCGCGTCGGCGGTCGGTCCCGCCGCGTGACCTGGCCGCGCCCCCGGCGGCGACGCGGCCGCACTCACTCCGCCATCGACCGCGATCGAAAGCCGCGACAGAGGCGACGGCGGCGGCTCGGCCGGCGGCGGCGCGCCGCGGACGCCGCGCGGCGCCCGTGACAGTGACCTTGAGCTGGCCGGCCGGCCGGCCGAGAGGGACGAAGGGGAGACGGGGCCGGCGCCGGCCACGTGCCGGCTGCGGCGCGGGTCCCACCAGGTGGCGGCCCTGTTTATCACAAGATGGAGGCGCGCGCTGTCCTGCCGCCGCCCCGTCCGCTGGCCACGTGCCAATTTTCCCAGCATCGCGCCGCTGGACCCGGCGTCACTGATGCCGGCCGAGGGCCGTTCGCGCCACCGTCGCCTGCAGGCAATGGCGCCGGTCCGATTCACGGCGCGGACCGTTGTTTCGTTCTCGTTCTCCGCCGGTGCCGCCCCCGGGGGCGCAGCTGCCCGAGGCTGACGTCGGGGTCAGGTTATAGACAAACGGCGGCACGCGCCCCGCGCCGCGCGACTCCCTGATGTACCTCGGATCACGCGCGACCGAGTGTCTGTCGCCCACCCGCCTGCTACTGCCATCCTTTGGCGACCTTCGTCTCCCTGTATCCGTGTTTCCGAGCAGCCTTTGCGCCCAGTATGTTGGTGGTGGCTCTGTTGATTGCTGCAGGGGACGTAGTTCCATAAACTTGAGGGGGGAGGGGGGGGAGAGGAATGGACGGCTGAGTAAGTGAAAATGACGTGGCTATCTCCGAAATGTGCCAACAAAAAAGGCCTTTTTCCGGTTTGGTCCACTTCCTTGCCAAAGCTGGGGAGGGGATGGGCTGAACACCTCACCTTGAATAGCACATTACTTCCCTGGATCACTGTCAGAAAGCCAAGACTTCTTCGATACAGGTGTGTGGTTGCATAAAGCAAAATTCAACTACTGATTGATTGCATGCATAAAAACAACGCACAGTCAGTATGTAACTCACGGGAAGCTGACCATCCGCACAGGATTTGAGCAGAATAGTCCTCGCAGGGCCACGTACTTTGCCAGCGAGATTTGCCCGCCACGTCGCGACCGAGTGGGCCGCCAAATCGTAAGCTGGACCCTCCCGCGCTTCCATTCAGCACAGTTATCAATTCCGCACTCGAGGGGATGAAGGGATTTTTTTTAGCTGGGAAATGGCATTTGGAACCAGACGACTCAGGCCGCGACGGGAGGTCTCACATGATCCGACACATTCACCGTCCAAAGACTCCCATACAATGATCCGACACACTCACCGTCCAAAGACTCCCATATAATGATCCGACACATTCACCGTCCAAAGACTCCCATATAATGATCCGAAACATTCGCCGTCCAAAGATTCCCATACAATTATCCGACACATTCACCGTCCAAAGACTCCCATATAATGATCCGACACATTCACCGTCCAAAGACTCCCATATAATGATCCGAAACATTCGCCGTCCAAAGATTCCCATACAATTATCCGACACATTCGCCGTCCAAAGACTCCCATATGTTACGCTTAGCTTGACACCATTATCTGGAACTGATATCAGGACTTGGGACAAGTCTCGGCTTCACCCTTGACGCGCGCACGGGTCATGTCTGCGTGACGAACCGAGCAAAAACAAAAACAAAACAAAAACAAAAAACTACTGCAAGCATACGTCTGGGGAAATCACGGGTTTTACCGGAGCTTTGCCACCGATACCAGTATCGGCAATGTCGGGCTTGCTGAGCGGCCTAAGCCGTGCAAGCTTTACGCACCCAGTCTTGTTGCCACATTCAAACCTTCTTCATGGCACCGACACACCTGAGCCCCTTTCTCTCATTTTAACGTGGCGGCTGCAGTAGCCGCACCTTTGCACACACTTCCGACGGAGAGACAAAAAGGAGCAGAAGAACCACGTGCCTTCGGAGCAAAAGACCAGTCCTCTTCAGGTAAAGAGAAAAGACTTGCATATCCACGAGTCATCTGCCAGTTTTCCCCTTTCAAAAACACTGCATTTTTTCGACGGTCTCGCAGATATGCTACACATAGTGCGGCCGCGACCATGCCACATGGTTTATCTCTCTCCTTAAGTAAAAAGCGGATCCCAATCATCCTGAACAAGTCCCCATTATCGATCACCAGTGGCTGGTCGGCTGGGAAATGTCATCGACATTCACTCCCTGTAGGACAGTTGGGGTAAGCATTCTCACATCTCAGCACGAATGACGACCTTTTTACTCCTGCGAGAAAACACAACCCGCAGAAAGCACCCTCATATCAATCAGAAATAACCACCCCAAGAAATGTAACCTGTCGTCGATTTCCATTCAAATGGCACCATTTTTGCTGCGTTCTAAAAGACTTAGCTATGCGTGGTTTTACCCACGTTAAACGCGCGAAACGACCGACTGCGCATTGCAGTGTGCCAATATTCGGCCCCTTAGGTGGCAGGGATGCCGATATTTTTTCATGCTATAACACCCCGGCTTTGGGCTCACGCCCGCGGCCCTCCCATTACTCAAAATCGGCCAATCAGCATCCGACCGGGCGGTTGTCAAACCAGTATCCATGCGCCTCAGGCTTGACAAACGGGCTGAGTGGGTCAGATGTCTGGGTCGGGGTCAAAGGGCAACGGATTAGCGCCAACGAATTGCGTACGAGGACCGCCGCAGAGCCACGATTCCCATAGTATGAGCTTTGTATTTACAGCCTGCACACCTTACGGGATGAATTTTGGAACACTGGCGCATTGTCTGGTAAAAAAATGAAGCGTGGCCATTGGTAGTTAGCCGCAGGGAGGGGGGAGGGGCACGACAAGCCGGCCTTGCTGGGGAGGGGTGCTGTTGAAAACCATGACTAAGGACTCGACACGTGGATTAGGGATGCCTAAATAAATTCCGCTAGCTATTCGACCACCATCACGTGGTCGAAAAGCTAGCGAAGTTTATTTACGAGCCTCCATGCGCTAAGCTGACAAAAGTTTGTATTTGCAATTTTTGTGTTACAAAAGGGTTTTATTTCATTATTTTGCTTACAAAAGTTTGTAATTGCGAGCAATTTGTCAATATGTTAGACCCTGGGAATTTGCGGAGGCCTTTAACAAGTCTCTAGTCCCCGAGTTGGCATAAGACTACTGATGGACATTATAATTTGAATAGCTTTTGGTTGCTAAGCATCGAATCCTCACCTTTAAAATCTTGTTAACTAAATATAACCCAACATCCTAAGAACAGGGCCAATTTAGAACTCTGCTGTCCTACAGGAAGCGAATGCCATGGACATTCCCCAGCTGGTCTGCCAACGGTGGTCAGCAATGGGACTTGTTCAAGCTACAAAATGACGATTGTTAACTTGGGACTGGCTGGAGCCATTCTTCATGTTGGTCTACATCTAAATACATTTTTAAGCACGATGATGCAATACTCCGCACCAAAAAGTGGCTCAAATTCTGGGGCCCATCATGAGTCATTAGCTATCCGAGCTTTGCTTCATGACAAGACAGCACGAACCATGGAACCAACTTTGTCTGAAAATGTCCGTCCACCGCCCGGCCCTGGCCAGCTAGGGACGCAGCCCGCAAGCGCCCGGTCGTGCCACCATGCTGACACAACGTTAACCCACAAACGTCAAGGTATGTGCAATCTGGATTTTGTAACACGTTTATTTCATTTTAAGCCTATGCACCACGTGTGCATCAAATATACGATCAGCACCTTTCAGTGCATGTCTTTCTTTGCTTAATACCAGTAGTGGAAGCGTGATAGCAGCAACAAAAGCACCTTTGACACTTTGTAGCATCTAATTACCGTTTAAACACTGTGACGCCAATTGTTAACTACACATGGGAGGCAACATGGTGCTCCGTGTTAGAACCTTGCCAAAATTGACCAAGACTTTCGCCCCTGTTCCTCATTTCAGTAAATCAAAGGCCAAGGTTTTCTAAAACTGGCTTAAATATGTTGATGGTCTTGCACTGAAGAGTAAAATAATGTATTGGATATCTTTGAATCGTGGGAAGTCACCTCACTTCATTTCAATGCACACGAGCACAATCCGAGCCTTATGGAAGCTTTAAGCCAACAACCTTACGAAAGTATAGTGATAGTATTAAGTATAGTATATAAAGTATAGTATAGTGAAGTATGTGACACTACCGCTAGAATTGGGCATTTTCAGTCCGTCTACCTCACAGAACGCGAATGCGTCATAATTGATTGTAAGGCCGCAATCCGGATTCAAGAAAGAAATTCAGGCTCTGGTGGTGTTCTCTGTCCTAAAATGGATGCATCATGCAACAGTACGGAAGAAATACCACGCGGCAGCTCAGAAATGCTCCATGTTTCCCGCTTACCACCATCCCGTTTCTTTCCCGAGCGGCCGTCATCACGCCTGTACAAAGTCAGCAGCAGGTTTGTTCAAGAACGATGCCAGTGCCACTCAAGTGTTATCACTTTGGGCAACGCCCCAAAATGTAAGACACTGTTAAACGTGCAAGA